TTTAACTCTGCTGTCTACTGACTCCTTTGTAAAGTTCTTCCCTCTCTCCTTCTCATCTTCCCCATCTCCCCCCACCTCCCTCACTCTTAATCTTTTTACAGGCTAATTAAAAATTCTATGCTTTTCGTCCTGTCCTAGTACTGACTGCTTTCCTCTCTGGGACCTGTAGCCGCCTCTGTTTGGGCACTCGGGCCCCTCTTGCACTGGCTTTGAGGGGCCGAGCAATGGCACAGCTGTGTCTTGCCTACCGTGGCCCCTGCCTCCCCACTCCGAGTTTGGGGAGGGTCCGGCTGGCCTGGGCCGGTGTCCATCGAGGGGATGCTGCATTACCTGCATGAATGTGTGCACTCATGCGCGTGTGAGGCTTTTCTCTGGTTGAGTGCTGAAGGGGTAGGACACGAAGGCCTTTCCCGCCCCCTGGCGTGCCCACTCCCACACCTCCTGTGGCTCTCCATCTGCTCCCTTCTAGAATTCACAGGTGAGGGACGTGCTTACACAGACTTGGTATTTAATGTCCTCCTTAATGGATTTGTTTATCTTTTTTTCCAAAATTCTCTTTTCCTTGTGGCCAGGGAATTTTCTTTTCATTTGCCTTATAAGGTGAGGACCTCATTGCTCTAAACTATAAATTATGCCCTAGTTTGGCTCAGTAGATAAAGCATCAGCCTGTGGACCAAAGGATCCTGGGTTTGATTCTGATCAAGGGTACTTACCTTGGTTGCAGGCTCCTCCCCAGCCCAGACCCTGGTCAGATTGCATGTTTCTCTCATATTGATATTTCTCTCTGTTTTTCCCTTTCTCTTTTACCCTCCCTAAAAATCAATGGAAAAAATATCCTCGAGCAAGGATTAAAAAAATAATAAATAAATAAACTATAGATTATGGCACTTTGGTATTCCATACATACTCTTAATATCTTATATATAATATATGACATAAATAAAAATCTATGGATAAGTTATTGCTTAAGATCTCTTTATGAAGCATTGTTACAAAGGATGAATAGTCAATACTTTAAAATAATAATTAGAAATTAAAAAAGAGTAAAGTTGATTGGTTTATCTGTTGCACCAAGACTTCATATAGAATATTCTCAAAAATTAAAGTACCTCTTGGAAATTGAAATATTTTATACAGGAATCATAAAGATATGGACATACAATTTTTATCAGAGTTGTTTTTTGGTTTTTTTTAATCATGGCATTTGGTTATAAATGTCACGACAGCTGGCATAGAGAATGGAGTAAAAGTGTTACTCTCTTTAGCTTGAAGTAGATGTGAATTTCCAACTTCTGACTTTGGTGAATTTGATGAATCAAATGTTTACACTTACCAATTTAAAACATCTGGATGATTCTAACTTTGGAGTCATATTGCTTTATATACACTGAATGCCTGAAAATTGGTAGAAGTTTAGATTTATTTTCTTGTTAAATGGCACTGCCTTGATTTTTGCTCTACCCAGAGATTCACAGTGCTTAGCTATCACCCTTTTCCTCCCATGCAGTTATAATTTTCTACCTATGTCCAACCAGTGTTGCTCAATGGTTGAGCATCAACCTAGTAACCAAGAGGTCACAGGTTCTGTTCTGGTCAGGGCACATACCTGGTTGCAGGCTGAATTCCCAGTAGGGGATGTGCAGGAGGCAGCAAGTCAGTGATGTTTCTCTCTCATTGATGTTTCTATCTCACTATCCCTCTCCCTTCCACTCTCTCTAAAATAAATAAAAACATATATTTAAAAAAAATTCTACCTTTTATTTACCACACACATCTAAGAGAAAATGTCTGGATAGTTGTCAACAGTTCTTAAACACAACATTTAGATTTCACTATCAGACTATAATCCCTTTAAAAAAAATTCAGGCATACAAGACTGTACCTTGATATTTAATAACTCCTGTTTTTCTAGTCTTTTTTTTCCCCCACAGAATAGCTCCAAGTGCTCTTGTTTGGGCTGTCCTCTGAGATTCTCTGATAAATCAGTTCTAGATTGAGGCTGACATAAAAATAGAGCTCATGGTTGACATATATAAAATAGCTGTGAGCAAAATAATTCTCTTTTAAGAGATAAACAAATATAAAATATATAAGGCAGGGCAGTTGGAGTTATTGCTTTTTCTGAAAACTGTAAAAGAGTTGACCCAGACAAGAGAGTAGGGACATTAACAATGGAATCAGGTTCAGGGCTCACTGTCCCCATTGAATTAAGACAATTTCTACAGATATTCTCAAGAAACAGGGCCCCACAACAGTGAAAGGAATAACCTTGTCCTATTACTGTCATCTGTCCCATCATACAGTTGACCCCTCATTTATTTCTCTAAGTATTTAGAGCAATGTTAGCCAATAGAAATATTATGTGAGCCACATCTATAATTTAAAATTTTTCTAGTACCACATTTAAAAAGTAAAAAATAACCAGTAAAGACCACTTAATACAAAATAAATAAATCAATAGTAAAAAATAAAAGGTAAGGTTAATTTCAATGACATTTTAATTAACCCATATATACTTCAACTTGTAATTAAAATATAAAATTATTAATCAAATATTTAAAATTATTTCCTCATTCTAAGTCTTTGAAATACCTGTGTAACTTTTTTAGAGATTATCAACTAAGATGCTAATTTTTCATCACTCATACTTGATCTTTATTTAGATTTCATAAAAATTATAACTGGAAATGTAGATTTGCTTAAATTGTTTACACATACTTAAAATGTCTTTCCCAATTACTGAATCGACTATCCATTTTAATTTTGAGTATTCATAATAAAATTAAATAAGACTAGTTTTTTAAAGTCCTGTGTAGCTGGTGGCTGCCATATTGGACAGTCCATACTTAAAAAGTCTGGTTTTAATTTATACTCTGCTGCTCAGTGACTGTTATCTAGGGTAAGTTTCTCTTTTTGTGCTTCAGTTTCCATATATGTAAAAATGTAGATCATAATAGTGCCTACATCAGCAGGTTGTTATGAGGATTAAAAGAAATCATACCAATAATATACACAATACTTAGCACAGTGCCTGGTACATAGTGAGCCCTCCGTAATTATTAGCCTTTATTGTTATTTTTATTGTTTTCATGTACTTGCTTTTATAATTTATACCATATCATGTCTGAGCATCTGGCAGAAGCAAACTTCTAATCTTTTGAGTTTATAAAGTAGGTAGATGTTGGACCAAGTGCAGAAATGTAAGCTCTCCCTACTCCAAATCTGTATTTCTAACTGCCTAGATATCTTTCTGTCAGCCTGGTTAACCTGAACTTACTTTTTTCTTTTTTAAAATCAGCTCTTCAGAACAGATATTCTTTAGGACAATGCTATTATTCTTTTTATGATAGATATCAGCACAAAGAAGTGTATTTTCATTTAGATATCCAATCATTGGCATAGAAATTTTCAGAACCTCAGAGTCATCCCTGAAACCTTCTCTCTCTCATCACCCTTATCAGTTATCCTCAAAAACCTCAGGATTTTCACTGTTAAAGCTCATGCCTTCTTACCTTTCTATTTCCACTGTCACCAGCCCTCCACTTGCCTGGACAGCTGCAATGATCTGTATAACGAGTCTTGGTCTAACCATTACCCCATATTTGTACCTGTTGTAAGCTACTGTTGAATCAATCTTTTGAAAATGGTATTTTTATCCCTTAATTTCATCTCTTCATATCTCATCACTTCCAGAATAAATATTCTTTCTTCTATGAAGCCTTTCTTGACAATTTCTTTGTCAATGATTGGAGGTCCAAATAATAACCCGCTTCCTTGTGGATCTGTGTCCTCCACTCAGATTCTACCAGAGCCCCAGAGCATTATTCCATCCACTGGGATAGGTGGAGTCTAAGCTCCATGAGGACAGGCTATTGTATTGATGGTTTTGTTTCTTGGTGGCTTCTTTCTTTCTTTCATTCTTTTTTTCTCCCTGTGTACCTTGATAGCTACACAGTAAAACACAGTGGTTCCTCAATAAATTCTCCTATTTTGTATGAGATAGCAAATGACATTCCTTTGTCTGGCATGCAAGCTCCCCAAAATTGCCCCAACATACTTTTCTGGTCCCAAATCTTGTTTTTCATGCACATAGTTTATTTCTAGATAAGCAGCTATATCACCGACTCACAGATATGCTTTCTATGTTTCCGTCCTTATACCTTGGCTCACATCATCCCCTCTCCTGAAGTGTCCCTGCAGTCCTTTGGACCTGCCCAAATTCTACCCTTTCCTCCAGGTTCAGCTTATTCCTCTACCATGTTGGCATCTGCAGAGCACCATGCACTCCACCACATTGTAGATTCAGGACTGTGTGGCCTAATAAAAGGCTAGGCTTGGGGCCCAGGTAGAACTGTTCTTTGTTGTTGTTGTTTTTCTGACCAATTTTCCTGCCCTCTCTGAACCTCTAATTAGAGTAGCAAAACCTATGTTGCAGGGTTTTCTTGAGTATTAATATATGACCCTGTCATCTCAATACACCAATGTTGCAGGTTTGATCCTCTGTCAGGGTATATACAGGAATCAACCAATGAATACATAAATAAGTGGAACAACAAATCTCTCTCTCTCTTTCTTTCTCTCTCTCCAGAAGAATATAGGGTATGTATGAACTATCACTAATTGAAGGTTCAGATAGAGTGTGTGAGCTCTGCTATTGTCAGTCTGATCATAGGACATATAATCATGCAATTTTTAAAATAATATTCATTGCAAGATTTAATTGTCAAATATATGCTTTATTTCCAACTAGACTACTTATGTTTGGGCCACAATTAACACTTAAATGAAACGTGAGCACACATACACATACATATTTATAGATATCCACAGAGACAGAGGGAGGCTTTCATTTAATTCCCACCAGAAAGTACCAATTTATGAGGGAGTTAATAATGCCCCTGTTTTATTCATGAAGAACTACAAATTGGACTATTTGAATCCCTCAATCCAGATCTTAAATTGACAGATGCAGAAAATTAAAACAATGTTTACAAGTTTTTCCCAAATCTGTTCCATTTTATTTTTTGCCATATTTCACTTCTGTGAATTCTCTGCCTAGATCAATATGTATGCTAATCACCTGTCTGTTTTTATCTATTTGCAGTTGTATCCAGACTCAGATGTTGGGAAGGAAAGAGGGAGGTAGTTATAGAGAGGATATTGCGTAGTGCCGGGGAGGTGGGGTTGCAAATGAAGAATACCTCAAACATGACAACTAAGGCATTTTTTAGTTAGGCCATTCAGCATAGCACTGCTGTCAAGAATGACAGATGACATTTTTATTCCTTTTTCCTGAAAAAAAAATAAGAGCAGTTTGTTGTTAAATATAAGTAATGCATATACATAATATGTGCAAGGTTTTCCTGTAGGCAATAATGTTCTGACTAGGAAAATCATAAAATTTAGATTATTTTTCCCAGGTGCTCTACAACATTAACAAATTTAAGGTCAGCTGATTTTCACATCTGTACCAGAATTCAGCACCAGTCAGGCCCAAATTTAGAAATTTGTCTACAAAATACACAGAATAAAGAGAACTTTGTATAAATTATAATCTTAACCTCTCACACACAGAAAATCCCCTATAGCCAATGGGAGGGCAGGGAGATATGTGCACAGAATATTCCATGGGTAGCAGATTATGACTTCTCTTTGTGGAGTCCCATGCTTGAGAAAAATATATTAGTAAAGGATCAGGATAGCTTACTAATAAATAAAATGATCACTTAATGTTGATACTCATTCTGCAAGCAACCTGTATAGATGGTCAAGGCAAAGATTGCCAGTACAAAGTAACAACCTCTCATTGCTTAAGCTTAGTTAATCATTAACATCTTTCCATGGATCAATACCCCTTAGAAACAAGAGATGTAGCCAAGCACTTCAACTCCATGTGTTTGCCAAGTAAGAAAAGCCATCGCCAAACGTGGTTGAGGGGTGTAATGTGCTGCAGGTGCTTAGCTCTTCTTAGCTCCTCTCAGTGAGCAGTTCTGTCCCCACCCCACACCCCTCAGCTTGCCTTAAGGAGAAAGTGGATATGGTGTGTAAATGTAGCAGAGGGGGGAACCCTTTCAGTGATGTTCAATTCTTAACTTTCTGTCCTTCAATTGAAAGTTGAGCTATTATATTCCCTGAAGTGAAATGGACATAAGCAAAAGTAATAAGAGGCAACCTTTATATGCATCTGACTTCTGGAGAACAAAAAATGATTTTAAAAATAAATAAAAGCTTGAAATATTGCATTAATTGTAAAAGATAAGCCCAGCTGTTGTTGCTCAGTGATTGAGTGTCAATCTATAAACCCGGAGGTCACGATTCAGTATCCAGTCTAGGCACATGCCCTGGTTGCCAGCTCAATCCTCAGTAGGGGGCACACAGGAGGCAGCTAGTCAATGATTTTCTCTCATCGTTGATATTGCTCTCTTTTCCTCTCTCTTCCTCTCTGAAATTATATATATTGATATATATGCCTACATTCTATTAGAGAGAGAGAGAAAAAGAGAGAGAGAGCGAGATCATTAGTGTTCCTTGAAAACATTTTTTTTAAATATTATCAAAAGAATACCATTAAGAAATTGCTACATCTTTTAACTTAAAGCATGGTAAAAAATTTTACTACAGAAAGATAAAGACTCCTGCTCTTATCCCTCTCAATGAACCCTTTCATTGTTAGAACCTGGACCTGAGTTACTTTTATATTTCTTGTACTGCTAAATCAAGAATCTTTCAAAAATAGATGCCCAATTAATATTATCAATGAGTGAATGAATTAATGGTGGGCTCTTTCACAGAAAACACTATTAATTTGGATAGACAGTCTTGTGTCTTTAAGTAAAAGGATACATGATACTTTAAAGATGCTTGAGATAGTGTTAAGAAAATTTTTTTTAATTTTAAATATGATAATTGTTAAGGGCTGATTTGTACCCCCCCCACCCCAATTCATATATTGCAGTTGTAATTCCCAGTACCTCAGAAAGAAAAGTTTGAAAGTAGTTCTTTAAAGATGATTAAGTGAACATGAAATCTTTAGGATGAATCCTAATCTAATATGACTTGTGTCCTTATAAGATGAAATGTGGACACACAAAGAGATACACCAGGCATCTGCATGCACAGGAAAACCCATGTGAGCACAGAGCAGGAAGGCAGCTATCTGCAGGGCAGAGAGAGAGGCCTCCAAAGAAACCAAACCCACTAACACTGTGATTCTAGACATCTAGCCCCCAGAACTGTGAAAAAATAAATCTGTTTTTTAAACCATCCAATCTCTGGCATTTTCTATGGCAGTCCCAGCAACTAATATAACCCTTTTTAGTTGCTACCTTTGAAAATCCTCTCTATGAATATGGTAAGGGAATAGAGGAGTATAAATCCCCAAGAATAAGAGACAACTGGAGATGAGAGGGGAAAATATTAGAAATGGAAAGTGGAAAAAGGAATTCGCAAGGTTGAGAATGCTCATTACAAAGTGCCCACAGAGAAGTGTGTCAGAAGCAAACGATTACCTTTGCAGAAATCTGATGGACTTGGGAGCTCCAGTGCCCGAAAACGCTTAAAAGCAGGTGGAGATGGACGGGAAAGGGCCCTCCCGCAGGTCTTCCTCTCGCTCTGCCCAGCGAGGAAACCAATTCCATAATCCAGACTCATTCAAAGATCGGATTTTTTTTCTGTGGGGAAAAAATAGTGAAACAAGTGGAGTTCGGACTTAGAGATAACGGGTATAGTGGATGGAGAAAATTAAATAAAAGTGTGCCAGCTGGATAGGGAAGCCCGGGCTGCTCTGGGAGCACATGGGGGCAAGGACTCCGTCGGTCAGGCTCACAGTGCCCAGGCAGGAGACTAAAGAGTACTCAGGAAAAAGGAAATCCCTACCCAGAGAAGAGACCCACAAACACCGGCATCATGTGGATGCACAGTGAAAAAGAAAGGTCCTTTGTGCCCCAGGTACCCTACGTGAATCCCAAGGCTCTACTCACTAAGTCATGCGGACCTTTCAGTCAGCATTTGAGCCCCTTCCTCTTCCATAGAAATTGACCAGCAGGGCTCCACCAACCCTTAACATAAACTCTAAAACAAATGTGAAAATAAAAATAGTAGTAATAATAATAATAATAATAATAATAATAATAATGAAAAACAAAGTAAGAAACAAATAGAATATTCAGAAAAAAATAATCTCAGATAAAAACTTATTCATAAAGCAAAATGATAGCATACAAAAGTAACCAGAATAAAAGAATTACTAAACTTTTAAACAATTTTAGGTAAAATTAAAATTCCAATGGCAGAGCTGAAAGGTAAAGTTTTAGAAATCTACCAACAAGTTATAATAAAAAGATGGACAATAAAAGTTAAGATAATTGGAAAAAACATTCTTTGACTAATAGCTAACTATTAGGAGTTTGTGGGGAGGAATAGAGAGGAAAGAGGGGATGAACTTATTTTTTTTAAAAATCTTCAGAATGAAGAACATTTTTTCTTCATTGAAAAGGCCCGTGATGCCCAGCACAATGAAAGAAAATGGACTTAGACAAAAGACATCTCGACATTTCAGACCACCAGATACAAATAGGAGGTACTAAAAGCTAAAAGGGAAGAAAAACCTACAGATTGAATTTCTGATGGGGGCATATGTGACATTTATCTTTTCAAAAGCACCGTGATGTCTTGAAGACAATGAAGCAATGCACTCAAAATTCTAAGTGAAAATGATTTCCAACCTGGAATTCCAAACCCAAATAAATATCAATCAAGTGTGAGGGAACTGATAAAATAATTGATGTGTCTAACCCAGGCAGAAAATAGTTTTACAAAGACCTTTAAAACATTCGTTTGGAGATTTCTGGAAGAATCAGTGATAATGCCAGCATGAAATTATGCAATAAAAATGGATGGGATTTATAACTTCAGAAAAATATAAAAGGTTGTTCAAGAAATGAAACATATTGTGACACACTGTTTGGTTTATTAGTAAACATTACTTCTCAGGGACAATAAGATAAAATCTAAATAATCATTTAATGAAGAATTCTTATATAACTATATTAGAAGGCTAGAAGGAGGTAGTCAGGGAATTGAGATGGTGAAAGAATGTGAACTTCTCATTGTCCATAATGGAAAGTCAGAAGTATGGAGTTAAATACCGGAGATAGGACTTAAGAGTTTTGGAGACTCATAGTGAGGTGTGGGGGTGGGAGGCACAAAGGACCTCTGTTTCTCATTCTCAGCCTATGTCGTACAAATTTTTAAAAATTAGCTTAATTCTTTTGTAAATTTACAAGGACCCAAAGCAACCAGATTTCCAAGATGATCACGCCGTGTTTATTTGCATACCACAATTAAATCTGTCTTCCATGGTTATTGTTTGAGTGGAATATTCCGTTTCCCCTTTAATATTTGATAAATTTAACATCATCGCTTACTGAAGAGCAAAGACTGGTGGTGCTTTTTATTGGCAGGGGTGAGGCTGGCTTCCCTAACCTGTCAGGAGAGAGGAAACATGAGCACTTGGCCAATCAAACCAGCACATTCAGTACTAGTGATGAGTGAGTTTGCAGATAGCGAAGGCAGTGGCGTTGTTCAAATATCAGATTATCCTACTGCAGCGCTCACTCTAAATGACACTCTCCACCTCCAGTCTTCTCACTAGTGAGCAAGATACTCTGGGAAAATGGGATGAAAATAAGTCACTATGAGCTATTGGATTCACGCTTAAATGAGGCCATAATCATCCTTACGGAGAGTAAAATAAAACCTATGGTTTCCATGCCATTTTTTACCCTACTTGAGTGAAACAGTAGTGGTAAGGAGGTTGGCTCTTGTGCAAGGCTTTGCAGAACACATCTGACTTCTTTACAATCACCCCTTTACTCAAATTACTGTGACCCAGACTGTTCATTGCAGGTTTAAAACTCCCATTGTCCTAGAAGCATCCAGAAGAATTTTTTGACCTTCAGCATAGTTGGCAGAACACAGGATATGAGGGCGCCTTGATTGGACAGAAAAGTCCTGTGTTTTGTCCAAATGAAGTGCTTTCAGCGCGAGTTTATTTGGCCTATTTTGACTGCAAGCTTCCTGAAACACAGGCGTGCCGGGAAGGGAGTAAACACGCAGGGCCTCACAATGTTCAGACATTTCCCTCCAGAGCAGCACAGTTCCGTTGCTGAGTAGCAGCAGCCAATGGCCTCACACTGTCCCTCCCTCTCTTTTCTGTTAACTGAGAAAAGCTATAGCTGCAAGAGCAACATCAGCAGAACTAAATGTAAATGCAGTCCATAGAGGCAGAGAGACCGTTGAGTGGGAAGCTGGAATATTTTAATGCAATATCCTTGAGTTCTGCACCATAAGCCTGGCATTCCATCTGAGTTCATCCCTGACCTGCCCCCTCCCATCTCTGCCCATCTCATTCACTCATGTATTATCCAGGCACATATCTCTGTCCCCCATGGGATCACAACTTCCTATGAAGGTGGGGTTTGTGGATTAACTCCATTTTGCATTTGCCCCACTGCTTTGTGCATAGCTTTGCACATAGTGGGACCTCAGAAAACAGATTTTTAACTTGGAATTTTCAATTGATGTTGTATACGGTGAAACATACTTCACTTGGTGTTAACTCCTTGTGGCAGCAACCTGCCTCACACCTGAGTTTCCAGAATGCCTTGTCTATGTAGCATACTGGTGAAGGGGCCAGGCTTTGCACTCCTTATCTGAGTTAAACCAAGGCTCCCCTTTGTTAGTTAACTTGTCCTTGGATTCTTTGATCATCTCCAAAACCAGGATGGTAATGTCAACCTCTTTGAAGATTAAATGAGATATTATATGGATTGCAAACACATTATATGCTGACACATATTAAACTCACAATGTTAGCTGTCTTTATTATTATTAGCATCATTAACTATTATTATTATTATTATATTTCTCATTTCTAAATGAAGATGTAATGCTAAACTCAGAGGGCTATTATGTGTGTGTGCATACTATAGAGTGTGTATATATATGTATACACATTTATATACATATATATGCACCCATACATAATACACATATATGTATATGTAATACTCATATATAAACACAAAGTAAATATTAATGTTAGCTATTGTTACTGCTAATATTACTATGAGTAATAATAGTTATTATAGTTTCCTAAAATGAGGTTGGTAGTGCTAAGCTCACAAGATTATTTAAGGATTTTAAAAGTTAATATATTTTAAATCCTTTTACAGCTTTGGGACTGCACCTTGTTTATGATAAGCACTATCTACTAATAGTAATTTTAAAAAAGGTGATTTATATAGCATAGTGAACCTGTAATATAGTATATGCTCAAGAAGTTGTTAATTCACCTTTGTGTTCTTTTCTGCATACATTGCTAGCACTAATGGAATATAAATATAATATGAAAGGCAGCATTTGCTTTAATGGTAATATTAATTATCTTTCTATACACCGAGCACTGGGACGACAAAACATCTTGGCCCAGAAGCCTGCCCCTGGCAAGAAGACAAGGTGCGAGTAAGGGAAATATGACTACAGGAACCGTGAGGGTGGCGTTGTGCCTACTCTGTATAGTGATTTGCCAATTTCTCTTTCCCCAATGATGACAGTGACACTGATGCTAGTCAAACAAGCTCCATAGTGCTACAGGGGCACATCCCCTCTTCTAAGGCTGAAGACTTGCTGATGAGACAGGACGCATGCTTGATTCCATCTGCTGTCACTTATCTGCCAATACAGATAGCAGGCATCTGCGGGCTGTTTGGCAGCCAAAATGACAGACTATATTTTAGCAGCTCACAGGAAATCACTTCAGAGCATTAAAGATGGAAAATACCTTATGATACCTTCAGTTCGAAGCAATGAGTATCCTAAACCTGAAACATTAGACCCCACAAGGCAATGGACCTTCCTAACAAAATAAAAATAATACTTCCAATCTATATAAACGGAACTTGTTTTAAAGAGCTTGGAGAAAACTTGTATGACATTTACCTTCCACTTTTTTTTCTGGAATTATAAAACTAGTTTTATTAAGATCAGAGAAAAGTAAAGGAGAACACTTGTGACATTCTTGGTGCTGCACTTGATAAATGACCTTTGCTGAATAAGAATTTTGCAGGGTATTTGAACTAAAAGTAGACAGTTTAAAAAAAAATAACATTTTAAAAACCAGATATAACTATTTTACTTAAAGGTTTTCAGAGTAAACATGGTTTGGAAATACAAAGTCAGGAAAGCAATAGGAGAGAAACTTCAAAAATTCATGGTATCCTGCCGGGACCAGTTTGGCTCAATGGATAGAGCGTCGGCTTGGGGACTGAAGGGACCCAGGTTCGATTCCGGTCAAGGGCATGTACCTTGGTTGCGGGCATATCCCCAGTAGGGGGTGTGCAAGAGGCAGCTGATCGATGTGCAAGAGGCAGCTGATCGATGACTCTCTCATCGATGTTTCTAACTCTCTATCTCCCTCCCTTCCTCTCTGTATAAAATCAATAAAAATATATCAAAAAAAAATTCATGGTATCCTTTAAAATTTTTCTTCACCAGAATGAGATCATTTTAGAAAAGGAATGGGTATGGAAGCAGCCAGCTTCAACTAAACACTAAATCATTAGAATTTGTGTTCATATAGGTGCGTGTACATTGGGTGGGGAGAGGAAAGGAGTTTTGCCTCTAAATCTTATTTCAACCACTTGACCTATAATTGGGAGTCTTCTCTAACATATACTATTTCTAGTTCTTGTTCTATATATTCTATTCTTGAGAAGATCTTGATCAGAATGTGCCTTTTTA